AGCCCTTTTTTTCGCTCTTCTTTCAGTGAAGTGTAATTGCTGATGTTTTTTTTTTTTTTTTTTTACAGTCGCAAAGTGTAACGTGAAAATGATCATTTTCTGTGGAACTTTATAGCGGACAATGGAGGTGGCGTTTCTTCGGTGCGATAGATTTGGTTAGTGATTAACCCTTTAACCTAAAATAACGTGTCATGTGACAAAAATAGATATATTAGTAAAAAAAAAATTCATTGTAATCCCTAATTTTTGTTTTGATTTGTAAAACTAAGGATTCCTAAATATAATTAACCTGCAACAGATTAGCATTTGTTGCTTGGTACAGTATTAAAACATTAAATGGCTGACGCTTAGATGCATAGCCAGGAAAGAAATCATAGGTTAAGGGGTTAAAATGAACATCCTCGCGATCGATAAGTAAACAACGATTCGAAATCTGAACAGCAAACTCGGAGTAACCGAAAATTGTCGAAAACCCTACAAAGACAGAGATCCACGAATCCAATCAGAATCTTCTACACCGTTAGTTTCATTGCTTTACCAATTACATACTACCCTATTAAAATAAGAGTTTGCAAGGGTGGAGGAACCACCACACACACACCATATGGGTCGATGAAGCGCAAAGAAAGAATAAGTGAATTTCTGAACAGGTGACTATTTATTTCATTACAAGTGAGAGAACGTACCTACAAGGGCGGAAAGAGAGAGAGAGAGAGAGAGAGAGAGAGAGAGAGATAGAGGAGGAGGGAGGAAAAGTAAACGAGTGAACGAACACGTTCGGAAGAGAGAGAGAAAGAGAGGGAGAGATGAACTAGCGAAAGCGGTGAAGAGAACCAGCAGAAAGCCCGTACGGATCCTGGTAATATCGTGAAAAGTGTTTGCTTAGCTTGTCTCGACCGAGCTCGGAGCATTAAACCGCGAGAGCGTTCTTTCTCGTCTCCCCGGGATCCGGGGAGAGCGATACCAACCTCTCCGTTATGTACACTTCTGTTCCCGATTATACGTTGCGAGCCCGAAGGGCTATTTCCTTCCTTTCCACCACAGTGAATTTCGATTCTGCCAATTGAAGCGGCGATCAGTTTCCATGCACTTTGTCCTCGGGCCGGCGACAATTTAACTAACAGCTCGACGAAACGCGCGGCAGATATATACACAGGCAAGCTGTTTCTCATACTGCAGATCGATTGAGCAAGAGTTAACACTTTATTGACCGGGAAACCCCAGTTGGTGGGCTTTAGGTGAAATTACCGCGTTCGTTATTAACATCGAGAATCGAGCGAGAGGTTCTCCACGCTTCAGCGATACGCAGATTTGTACTCGAGTTGTTAATAACATAGGACTCGTATTTTTTGGACATGCGTATCGTCTATACAGGGTTTTCACGAAGTTACCAGCCAGTGTTTTTCTCGCTTATGGTAAGTATATGGAGAACGTATACAGAAAATGGTCGAGTTTCGATCGTTCTCTTTTTTCACATTATTTCGGTCAACTGAGAGACTGATACGAAAATTTAGGGGTATCTTTAAAAAAACACCGATCATTCCTAAACTTTACTTGCATTAGTATTGAATTTCTTGAAAAACAAAAATTGGTAGCAGAGAAATGATTGAACAGAGATATCAGGATTTAATCGAGTTTAAAGACTGTGATATGGTGAGGGATAAGTACGTTCGATAGAGAATGAGGATATAGATTCAATTCCAGGAATAATCGGCACTATTGTTACGAACGACGACGACAATGATACTAATAGGTATGCAAACGGTGATTATGGTAGTGGATAAAGAAGCCGGTATGGAAACGAACGGATAGGGGGACCCCCTGCCCGCGTCTGTTAACTCCGGTTTGAAGCTCCAGGTCTCCTGGGAAATGTGCGTAATCGCTATGTCCCTTTCTGAATTGGTGGCGACGCATTCTTGCTCGCAACCCTGTCTGATCCGCGCCACCGTGTTACGATGACCCACGATCAGACAATGATCCTCCCGCTCCCCACCGCCGTCCCTCCTCTCTCGCTGCCCTTACAAATGGAACTTCTTGTTTTTAATCTCCGAAATTAACTAAGACTGATAATTACTGAAACGGTGTATTGTGTAGGGTGCGAGATTTCCAAAGGTGCGTTTAAATGTTTTCGTGGAAATCGGAGAGATACTGAAACGTCGATAAGTGTCCTTGATAATTTGATTTGAAACGGAGGGAATTTCGGGAACGACATTTTTCTTCGGTAAAAAGTGCCAAGGAAGAAATCTTATTGGCAAATAAGTTGTCGGTCTGAACCTAGTTGGTCCCCTTTATAAGCTATAAAAATAAATGAAAATCTATGAACGAGAACTCTGTGTGATCTTATCAAAAAATGCTTCTTCGAACTATCGAAATCAATAATAGTAGTGTCTCTTGTACAGTATCCGTTAAAATTCCTCCGGAATCTGAAGTTTTCTCTAAGGGAGAAAAATCGAGCGGAGAAAAAACCAGTCTCTCCTAGTGATACGAAGATATACCATCCTTCCGTGTTATCGGGAAGAACGTGCGTACTTTCGTACACCCACAAGCTGTGTTCTCTCTCTCTCTCTCTCTTCGTACGAGAAAGAGACACGAATTCACTGGCACGCGAAATTTCTGTACAAGAACGAAAAAGAACGAGGGTGGAAAAAGAGAGAGAGAAGGAACGAGTAAGACAGCTCTCATTGATAGAAGGGTGGCCGAGGGTCGAAAAAGCGAAGAGAGCGAGCAAACGAGCGACCTGTACGTATACGGGCCACCAACCGGAATAAAGTGGAATTCAGCGTAACCTGAATTATAAACGATATTATGCAAACACCACGGAGAAAGAGTACTCGTACCGCGAGTTAATTTGATGAAAAACATCAGAGAGCAGACAGATGGATGAAATGAGAGGATGGAACAGAGGGGGAGGGAGGGAGACAGGCAAAAGACGCATCCTGAAAAGATCGTTTTCGAGGAGAGCATGGTGCCTCTCCATCTCGAGCATTTTCGGCTCTGAAGGTTCTCTAATCACCAACAACCGTGTGCTAAACCGTCCATCTTTCCTTTCTTTTCATTTCCCTCCCTTTACTCTTTCTTGTTTGCTCCTCTTGTCCCTGCTTCGTGCGCCACGAAATTTCGCGTATTTCGCTGATTTTTTTGGAACAGTAACACATTAGTGAAGAGCGAAGTACTTTAACAGTAGGGTGCTAAACATTTTTCGCTGAATCAAGTTTTCTGACCACTTGTAAACACGCTGCTTTAACCCTTTGCACGCCGAGAATCTTTGGACAGTATCGAGCGAAATAATTCGGCGCAATTTTGCAGTGAAACTTTCGAGAAGCAAAAATTTCCTTTTCGAAAGAAACAAAAAAATTAGAAGTGTTTGCGCAATTATCAAGCGAGCCACTATAGTGGCGCTTCGTCCCAAAAATTGACCTAGCGGGAAGCTACTATAGTGGCGAATAATAGCTGAAGGGTTAAAGCTTGGCCTAGTTGCGTGAGCCACCCTGTACATAACCGTATCATCGATAAAATCACTTTCAAACGTGCAAACAATATTCTCCAATCTACGAGATTTTTCAATCACTCAAGTATCTTTTTACAATATCAAGCTTCTTCTTTCACACCACCAGCATTTCTACTCGTGTAACTCGCAAATAGTCAAAATCACACACACTGCATCAACTATCGGCAATAACGGAAATGTAAAAAAAAAAAGAAGAAAGTATATTCGTAGAACTAATTGAATCGACAGCCTGATCATCGACTTCCTTTCATCCTTTTTGTCAGCGCGATACACCGTTCGCCTAGAGGGTAGGGGGGACCCACGTCGATCACTCCCCACGAAGAGGATGTAGCAGGAAGAGAAACAAAAGCTGACTCTTCTCGCGCGAGTCAAATCGCGCGGCCTGCGATAATTCTCTCCCGTTCTTCCTCGATACCTGTACAGCCACTTTCCTCCCCTTATTTTTTTCCTTTCGATGCATTTCGGTACCTATCTAGACCGATAAAGAAAAATGATAAAGCACCGAGAGAGATAGAGAGAGAGAGATACAAACGACGGAGGACGGAAGAAGAAAGAGACGACGTGATCGAGCAAGCAAGGGGAAGAACCGGAGGAGGTGGAGGTGGTAGAGGTGGTGGAAGAGGTGGAGTACAGGCAAGAGGAAAAGACGAAGAAAGAGGCTAGCTACAACTGTCGACACGGTAAATATATCAGGCGCACGAGCAGCCCTACCGTAATTGAGCTGGCACCGCCAATCTGCACTCGTTGGGGGCGGTTCTCCGGTGGTCAGAGGTTGGGGTACGCTGCACAGGGACTGGCTGATAGCGGCCGGTGTGGAGGAGGAAAGCCCAAGGGCGGTAGAACTGAGTCGAAAAAGCAGGCGAATCTACAAGCGATCACAGTGGTGGTGCAACGCCACCGAGGCCGACTCCCGGCGTTCAAATCACGGGAAATCGCGACGCACGCTGGTTACCCCTTCGACGCGGCTCTATTTTCCTGTTTATATCCGTAGTACGAGTCCTCGAGTAGTCGCGCGCTGGAAACACACTCTCGCGTCCGTCTCTCCCGCGGTTTTCGTTTGCGCACACGTTCGAGGGGTAGGAGGAGGAAATAATTCGACGAACTGACAGAAATTGAAAGGGAACGTGGGGTGGTAGTTTGATCGTCGGAAAAATTATATTCGAGACACCGAGGGCTAATGGGAGACGGAGAGACGGAGGCGTAACAGAGATTCTTGTGGATTCTTCGAGAATGGAGATATGTGATTGATCGATCACATAGTGTGACAGTCTTTTTTAATTGAAATGTTCGAATAAAAACAAAACATCTTGTGATTAATACGACGTCTTATCTTATGTGAATTACGGTCGTCTTAATTGTTTCTATCAAGAGACAATGATAGTTAAATGACGATGCGTGGATGTTTATGAGAAAATTAAGAAAAAAGATAAGTCGTTGGTACCCAGTTATCTACTACGATAGTGACCAATCTCGTTGCTACCCAGTTGGTATGATGTATAGTTTATACAGAGCTTGGTTCGGCGACAGCATCACAGCTGACAATTATTCGCGACTTCAAGAAACTTTATCACCGCCTGATACGGTGGTCAGAGTCGGGAACGAGGGTGAACATCAGTTTGTCGCGCACAAAGGTATCCTGGCTGCCCACAGTGGCTATCTGAAAGCTCTGTTAACGAGCGCGGCAACGACACCTAGCTCCACTGTTAACTTGCCAGCAACGGCTATCGCGGTCACCACAACCAACCTTTCGGGACAATCAACAAGGCAGCCGGTCACGTCTGTCTCGGTCTCGTCCATTGGTAAATATTCACTTCGCTCGTTTACGAGTGTTGGAAATGAGTTTCAGCAAGTTTCTTCCTAACGACGCTTTCGGTATTATCAGTGGATAGAGAAGCGTGACCTTTTTTAGTATACAAGTTAAGAAATTACAAATTTTTAAACGAATCAAAAATACGCGATAAACTTCGTCTCTTCGTTCTTTTTTTATTAATTTCAATGTGGTAGACGATTCTGTTTTGATTTCGCAATATTGGCAAAGAATTTTTTCTTAATCTTTCTTTCCTAATTCATTGTTTCGAAACAAAGTATGGAAAAATATACGGTTCGAAGAAAGTGTCAATCACTGAAATTTCCTTTCCTTTCAATTTTTTAATATTATTAGTTGCAAACTCGTCTAATTTTGTTTCTTAGCTCCTTCCTTTTGCTTAATCCTTAACTGCAGCGTGCACCCAGAAAAAACCACCAATATTGATGAATTTCTCACTGAGGTATATTAAACAACATCAAATTGTGCAACAGATTTTATCGATTTAGTAACAACACGACACAGATAAATATTAAATGTCAAGGTTAACGTCAGTCGCAGCTGTACTCTTTAACCCTTTCGCTGCGGCAGATTTTAGCGCGCAACGCTGCAACCAAGATTCTCAAAAGTTCTTATTCTCTCCGCATTATTTTAAAATCCGCAAAAAAATTAAATTAAAAGTGTAAGCAAAAGGGTTAAGCAACTGTTACATTACAACCTCGTTCTATTCAATCATCTACACCAATAAAGACGATTAACAGTAACGACGATGATACCGATACTGGTTTTAGTGTTCGCGATGGTGTTGATAATGAAACCGCAATTTTTTCAGGTGGAGAAGCGTTCGCGCCTCTTCTAAACTACATGTACACCGGTCGATTGGAGGTGACACTGGACAACGTGTACAGCGTGCTATTGGCCACACATTTGTTACACATGCCGGGTGCTCTGGAACAATGTAGAGCCGCGTTACTAAGGCTAAGAGCGCCACCGCCGCTACCAACGCCGATCCCTGTGCCGGCGTCGACTTTAACTTCAACCTCGATGTCCACGTCGACGCCAGGCGCCGGAAACATACTCAGACCGATACCAAACAGACTGATGATTGACCCGAGCATGTGTTGGCCACCGACCACGCCGCTTTATCCACCGACCGCGCCGCCAACCGCGTCCATCGGTATACCGCATTTACATCAACTGCAACCGTCGGTCCTGATGCAATCGACAGTTCCACTCAACGTTTCTGTCGTCCAGACCTCCAACGTCCAGGAAACCCAGTGCTCGGCGGTTTATAGGTTTGCACGTTTACAACTGCTTTACGGTACAATGTCGAGGAAATTACACGGGGGGTGTTGGTGTTGATTTTTGGTGGAAAATGTGCGCGAGATCTGTCGACATTTTTCAGAGAAATGTAGGCGAAAAATGTTTCGGACTCTGTAGGAAATTACGTTCAAACTTTAAGCGAGTAGATAGACAGTTGTAATTTACGATACGATGATTCAGGTGTTTTGAACACAGAAAGTACTACTTTGTTCAATCTGTAGGAGGTGTATGGTCAACACTTGGAGATACATTCGAAGCATTTTATACTTGAAGTTAAACGAAAGTTAATAGAGATCGAATGAAAATGAAGTTCAACGATGCAGCTGAAAGACGACTAATGTAGATAATTGGTTGCTCGGAAAATAGGAACTTTGAAAATCCTAAGTCACTTTTCATTCTAACTTCTTTAAATTAATATTCGTAACGCCAATTCCCCATTTATGCTACTGATTCTCAATAACGAGACGAAATATTAAAAGTGCATTACTGTCCCCTAATTAACGACTAAAATAAACGTTCAAAATTGTTCACAACAGCGAAGTCTCGTCGCCAAAGTCCTCGCTCTTCCAAATGGACCGGAACCGAGGCCTAAGAGTGGACACCAGACCGAAGTCTCCAGAAAACGTGTCCTCGAGCTCGCTACCACTGGTCGCAGCAGCCGCAGCAGCATTCAGTGCTTTCACGTCAAACACAGCCACCTCAACCAGAACATCGTCACCGTGTCAATCGATTTCACCTACGCCCTCGTCGACTTCTCAGTCCCCGATACCAACGTGTCAGGGCAAGAAACCAACCGATCATCAGCAACAAACCAAAGACGATCAACGCGACTACAAGCACACCAACAACAATCAACCGACACAAAATCGATCTTCGCCACTGACACCTGTGGAAGATTTAACGACGATGCCTCGTAATCGCGAGAGAAACATCGAGACAGCGTCCATCGCGGAGAACGACGATCGAGGGAGATCCTCTAAACGAAGAGGACGCGGCTCGAACACCGGAAACGACGGTTCTTCGAGTGTCTTATCGGTCGTGTACGACGTCGCCTGTTGCGACGGTCCAGTGAAGTTTCACCGAGTATTAAACGAGAATTATCTGTCGTCGGCAGCCTCTTGCGGACCGAGTTCCATACCGCAATCGCGTCTGCAGAGACCGCCGTGCTTCGAGTCGGAGAACGCGTCGTCGGAGAACGACGAAAACGGAGGACCAGGACCTGTAAGAACTCCTTGCGACTCGATCGAGGCTGGAATGGACGCGGCGAACAGCAGCGGAAGTTACACGTGTGGCTACTGCAGACACACCTTCAAATCTCAGTACTGTTACCGAAAACACACGAAAAGACACCTGCTACCGACCAGAGTGAACGATTCGATAGGAAACAGACAGAGGCAAGACATCGCTGCACGGAACAAACGAGAGGTTCGATTGTTGGACCTGAACGTTCAGTATTATCCGTGCAAGATCTGCGGATGCAAGTTTCCCAGCTACTATTTCGTGCACAAGCATAGAAAATTGTGCCACGCGAACGCGGAAGAGAGAACGCAGTCCGACGAGGCAAACAGCACCGCTATGGAGGATCAGGATTCGACTACGTCGACGACCAACAACGAGAGACAATGAGGATGAGGATTTTTCTTGTGTTTTATAGAGGTACGACGAGTGTTTCGTTGATACGTTTGTCGTTACCCTAACGTAGAATGTAAGAGTGCATAAATGGTAATAAAATACGCGATTAAAACGAAGAGTGAGATTATGTTCTTTGTAGCTATACTTTACGCGAAACGTAATTTTCTGTTGATGTACACTACCGGCCAAAAGTTTCGAATCACTTCCCACTTTTCATCAATATTAAATCTGCTGCTAATTTTTTACAGATCTCAAGTTTATCTCAATTCTACTTTTATCAATTTATCTCATATCAATTGATTCCAACGATCAAAAATTCTCAAAGTCGCTGACTTTTTTCTGGAAATTTTTGTGTTAATTGCAATGCTCGGTGATTCCAAACTTTTTGCCGGTAATGTATATCGAGTAATATGGTTGTACGAATTGTAGTTGTACATTGTTTATTATAGAGGAGAGAAACTGACCGTGTTCACGTTGTGTTTCAGTATTTTTCAAAGTCGAAGAGACTATAACAGGAGCAATTACTGGACGACGACACGCGTTTCAAGTTAATCGAGATATTTACTGCTACAAAACACACACGATTGGGGAACATGTTGCTGAATTATCGAGACTGATTACGAGAACGAGAAGAAGGATTAGCAGCGTTGAAGTATCGGTAATTAAGTCGACGGATTATCTCGAAATCGAGATGCTACGATATTACTGTGAAATCGAAGTAATTCGAATTCAAGTATGAAAATTAAAAAGGACAGTGTTTCTTATCACACTTGCGGAAAGAAATTGTCGACATCTGAAAATTGTTGTAGCGAGAATCGTGTTGATAATGGATAAACTAGAATTATAGACTGAAATTTGCGTTGTTATGTGGTATTATCGCGAAAATTATTTCGATGAAGTATTTTGCGTTGAAGAAAACAGCCGTATCGAAAGTAAATACAATGTATCATAATAAATAGATTGAATTACTGTGATTATATTACCCGAATTATATTTTCATGATTTAACATAATTGCTCCACGTTAAATTCAGAAGTTTCTTCTTAAATTTTTCCTATACCACAATTTATGTTGGACTTTCCTGCATCAGAATCGTATTTTCAGAATTTATTCGAGGTGTAGCGATCGAAAAGTTACAGAATTAAAACTGTGTCGAAAATTGAGAAAGAAAAACATTTCCGACATTTTCTGCTTTCCAAGTTTAATCAAGGATCCAAAAATCAGCAGAGGCTGTTCGACATATTTACGCCGTTTATGGGCAAGATTCTACTGCGAAAGTAAGCACGGCTCGAAAATAATTGTCACGTTCCAGAAACGGAAATTTTCAATTTTAAACTTCGACGAGGATCGTCTGAATGATTTAACGAGTTACACTCAGTCAGAAATTAATATGTTTTACCGCAATTCCCAATTTATATTAGACTGTCAAAGGGTTAAAATGTATCATAATAATTGAAAAGCGTAAAACAATATGCTTTTTCACATTTCTAATCACAAACAGACGTAACTTAAAGCACGAAGAGATGCAAATTCTTTTCACCGCATTTCGTATCATTTTACACGACTGTGAAGGGGTTGAACTTGTTCCATTCGATGCGATTTTAAACTTCGATGTTTCCCCCGCGAGAACATGAGAATATAATTAAAAGAATACTGCTTTATATTCAAAACCAGAGTGAAAACTCGCCGAATATTTGAAAATCTCTTAGGAAAATTCAAATCTGTGAGAATATTGGAAGGAAAGTACCGATAAATACGGTTCACTTTGCGAATTTACGTTACAGTAATCCGCCATACTAAACAGCTTGGAAAGGGGGAAAATACACACGCGAATAATTGGGACAAATGAGATCACAGATATTGCTAAAATATTTGAGGATATCGTTAACAAAGTAAAGCTGGTGATATATTTGTCGAACGAAACTTACCAATGGTGTCCATGGATTGGGCCTCCTCGTCGCTGGTTTCCATAGGTGTAGCGTGATTATCTTTTTTCTTTTCCTTTATCCTGCTCGTGGCTGCCACGCCGCCACCACCGGCACTGTTATTTGCCTCCCTGCAACCCAGTTTCTTTTTGTTAGAATCTTTGAAATTTGACTGTATCACCGTGGCGTTCGTTGCATTCACGTTCATCGTCGATGTTGTCGACGAAAACGTGTTCTTCCCGTCCATTCTATAACAATGGACAAGAAGGGAAATTCCTGTTAGTTCTTCTTTTCTTCTTTCTCTTTCCTCATTTTTCTTTTTTTTTTATTTTTATAGCAAAGCAAAAACGATTGTGAATTTAATCAATGCAAATTGATCGAGTTTATTGTTGAATTTTTGAAAGTGATAGTTCGATACTATTAGTAAAAAAAGTGAGTTGCTTCAAGTTTACTGTTGGTCTTTTTACCATGAAATTGAATTTTTGTGTAAGAAGTGACAATAGTTAGTATTTAGTTTGTAATCATTTGTGCGAATGCGGAATTTCAAGTGGAACATTTGGCTCACGTTTCCTGGTATGTTCGTTATTATTTCGAAAAATACGACATTCGTCAGGAACATAGAGAAGTCAGATGTGAAAATTACAAGATATTCGAGAACACAAAGTCAACCAATTTCTTAATCAATTTTCAATGTTTTTTGCTCCTATTTATATTTGAATAAAAATTTCTTAAACATTAAACATCCTTACAATTTACATTTCTTAACGGTTTATTCTCTTTTCTCTACTATTACTCTGCTAACAATTTACACTACAGTTTACTCTCTCTCTCTCTCTCTCTTCTCAAAAATTCATTTTCCTATACTCTCTCGATACTTTCCATGCACCTGTTATTCCAAAAACCGATTTCAAATAAAAATCACTCAGTCTCCAGTTATAATTTAATGTACGTTCTTTTTCATATCGTTAAAAAAAAAAACGAATGCTTTCCCACAAGAAAAACGAAACGGGTAAAATAAATAAATTCATACAAATAACCCGACTACAGTTGCAACGGAATGAAATAATACTCTGTACGTATCGCTTCTAAATGAATGCGGATAGTCAGCACTCCGGTCTTCGTGCGGTTCGAAATCAGATTTTCAACGATCGACTCAATTTCGATGATGAATGTCTACGTAAACATAATCCACTAACCAGTAACCATTGATTAGCATTACAATCTGCTAATAACTGCCCTACCTTCCCACTCTATCCTTCGTTTTACCCCCACCCCTTCTGTTTCCCCCTCCACCCATCCCACCGCACATCACTCCCCCCTCCCTTCGACGTTTCAATGCTTTTCTCCCTCTCTTCGTTTCTTTCGTGAATCTCCCGAACGATTGTCAGAATTATCATTATCGTACCGTCCATTAATATTATTAAATCAACGTACAGCGATAAAAATGTCGTTAGGAAAAAAGTGAACGGATTGAAGCCGATAATTGAAAGAGAAAAGTGGATTGAAATTTGGGGGCGGGGATTACTTCTGCGCGTATGGATATCGTTGTGATTATTAAATTAGTTATTTAATCTTTCGTAAGATGAAAGTTGTTCTTCGATCGAACAGCGTGCTTTTACATCGTCGGTTGCAATCTTCCGAGATAATTTTATGCTACAGAGTTTTCTTTTGGGTTGAAGATTCAGAAGTTTCTTTAAAATTGCTTTTTGCTTTAGATTTTTTTAAAGATTGATTCGTGTATTCTCCACTTGTATGTATGTTACACGTTATTCTTCTTTCTTTTTTTTTTTGTGCAGAGCACTTTGATGTACACCTACTTCTTCGAAATGTACTATCCTGTGCTATAGTAGTAGCTTTATTATTGTATTAGAAACAATTATTTAAAGACCTACTGTTGAAAGTATTTAAAGTTTAGGAAATGCGTTCTTCGGAAGTTTAGGAAATTTGAAATTTTTTAAGTTTAGAAAATATATTTATGCTTAAACTACCCGGCGGGTCCCAGGCTTCTTGTGTTCAGAACACATCGGTACTTGTGGAAATGAGAAAATCAAATAACAACATATTGAAGTTAATTTGTTTACAAAGGAAAAATCTCTTCAAGCTAATTTTTCTCGAGATTTCAAGAATATCAGTGTGTCTTTTCGGCTACTATGGTGTATTTCTTATTTATATATATTTACTTAGAATAAAAAGGCAAATTCGACAACCTTAACAACGTATCATTTAATCTCGAGATATTTTCGTCTGAAAGTGCATAATTGAAGTTTAATAATTCAGTTTCCTCCATTTTACTCTCGACGATACTAATCAGAGTAAATAGCATAAGATTGTGCTAATATTTGAAGAATTGATATGTGTCCAGTAATTACACACAAGAAACAAATTTTGTTACCTTCAGATCAAACTGTCTCGAGATTAAATGATAGAGAAGGGCATGTTGATAAAGTTGCAAAATTTGTTTTTCTTTTTTTTATTCTTTATAAAAATATAGAAAAACAGCAATTGAAAAAACATCGATGACCTTTAAAACTCTGAAAGAAAAAATTAACTTGACGAGACTTATTTTTCATAATCTTGTTCACCACTTCGAATTGTTTAACTTTGCCCTAAACAGAGATACAGTAATGCCCGGTTAGTGGCCGCTCGGAACTCCGAACATGTCGAGGATCCGCGACATCTACGCTCCTCCTCATCGACAATCACACAAATGCTAATGACCCACCGAATTAAGAAACACCAAAGTTTTATGCTTTTTACTTTATAATTATGAGAGTGTTTTAACCGAATTATTTGAAATCCGTGCGATGAAAATGATACCAAACATGATTATCATAACCAATTTGGTTATATGAAAATAACCAAAAAGTTAAATTTTCTGATCAACTCTTTGAAATAATTTACTATTTATACGTATAATTTTGATACGAACTTCCAATATACGCTCATTTAGTTCTAAAAATTATTAAGACTATTAAACGATGTTTGGCTACTGTTATGGTTACTAGGAAACCTTCTTTTGCTTACAATTCACAGATAACTATAATATTAACTTTTTGCTATACATGAGATA